CAGACATTTTGGAGCAGAGGTCCAAAGTTGCAGGATGGTAGCCCTTGAGGACTGGAGTTGGTGACCCCTGGCCTAGTGTAACCAAAGAACAGAATTTACTCGGGTTCAGATAGCAGTTTACCATCAACCAGTTATGTTTATTACAAGTTACTGGACTGAAACACATCCAACTTCGTCTCAATACTGTCATACAGATTTCCTGGAAAAACCCACAAAGAGAAAGAAAAATAAAAACTTAGATTATAAAGAATCCTTTCAGGGTCCTTGGTAAAAAAAAATAAGAATAAAATTAAATTAAAAGAAGCTGGCCAGCAAAAAAAAAAAAAGAAATAGTTCATATAGAGCTCTATATTTGTCTGTGTGTGTCTGATGCGTAGAAAACGATGAAAGAGGTTGTCCTGGCTGGGATGGCGACCCAGAATGACGACGGCAGCCGATGTCCACAGACACAGAAACTCCGCAGCCTCTCTCTCTTCCTCCGCAGACACGGGAGCACCTTCCCAGTGTTCCTTTCCTCAATAGCGGCCACAATACTAGCAGGAAAACATCATATATCAGGCATAAAGAAGTCAAGCGCTATGCAGAAGGTAGCCAGAGACTAGCATGTCTCTACTCCGCAGCAGCTCTGAAACTCCAAAGCCCGGGAGTTTCCCTAGTAACTAAGAGCGGTGTGCTCCATTTTAAAACAGCACGTAAGATTCTTTATCAGGAATATAACTCCATAAAATAATAAGCACCTCATGAACATAGATGAAAATGAAATATTTCACTTAACACGACAAACTCGACAGTCATTTTAACTCACAATACCCACGGTAAAACAGGAGTTTGGTTTCTAAAACATTACGGAATTAGCAACAACTTAGTACATAAAATTAGAACACATACGACATTACAAATCTCCAGTAATGCTCACCTAGCAGGAAAACATCATATATCAGGCATAAAGAAGTCAAGCGCTATGCAGAAGGACGGCAGAGACTGGCGTGTCTCTACTCCGCAGCAGCTCTGAAACTCTAAAGGCCGGGAGTTTCCCTAGTAACTGCAGTCGGAACACTGCCGTAAAGTGATGTTGTACTTTGCTCTTAAAGGGACACTACCCATAAAGTGAAAAACAATTCAGAAAAGCAAATGACACAGAACAAACAAATAAAATACAGCTGAGTTACACTATCCATGTCAGCCATGACAAGGGCCGGCGGCTGGGACTTCCTTCAGAGGTCCGCTTTCCCTGTGGGCCGCACTAATATTATACTTTCATATCACGGTGGGGGCCACTAGAATGAGACCCCTGGTCTAGAGGAATTTAAGTATAGAGGACTGGTGAAAAATCAATTTTCAGTTTGCCCCAACCTTGTGGAATGTTGTCGAAGTATAAAATAATGCACTAATACTAGGGGGCTGAAAGTATAGAAACAATTCTGGGAATGATGATAAAGAAGAAAAGATTCCAGAACTAAATAAATGAGCACAAGCTAGAGGAAGAATTTTGTAAGTATTTATCGTGAGCATAAGCTTTTTAATAAAGATTAATTCATTTTAAGGCTTTTTACTCCACTGAGTGCCCATAGATCTTTTCAACATTGTACATATCAACTGAAGTCTACACCTTGAGCACCATGTAGCTTTAATAGATACTGACTTATGCAACTACACACATTCCTCACACACCACACAGATACAACATCAGAAGCACATACAGATCACACACATTTTTTCTCTTCAATTTCTCAGCAGCAGTGCAGTCAGCTGCAAGTCACATGACTGGCTTGCCTCGTCTCACTGAGCATGCCCAGACCCCCGCTAGTGTTGTTAGGCAAAATATAAGAGAGCAGTAGGAGAGATCTGCAATAGATAAACACTTGCACACGCACCAGCTGGCGCGCTTGCAGACACGCACAACACGCATCTAGAAACACCGTCCAGAGCTGTGGTTGCTGCGTCCTTGTATTTATTTAATGGTTCTTTTGTCATCTGTCATTTTAGTGGAAAACAGCCACTGACAGAGGGAGAGATAGACAGAGACACACAGAGAGAAGCAGGTGCGCCCTTTAAGAGGAAAGAAGCATCTGAGGCAAGGACAGCATCCCAGTCTCCATTCTCTGTGGAGGTAAGTGTGGATGGATGTGACGGGAGTCCGAAGCGTAGAGGGAGGGGGGCAATCCGCCTGAGCGCATCTGTGTTTGGGCTAAACTGCTATCTAAGGAGAAGGACGAATGGTGGAACGATCGAGGTGAATATATATGTGTGTGTATCTTTTTGTACGTGCGCACTGTCAGAGGGTGGGTGGGCTCATTTTTTTTCTGTGACTCTATTGGTATGTGAGACGACAGAGGCCAAGGAAATGGCAGGGAGTGCGGGGGTGAGTGGGATCGAGATGTAAATGCGAGGAGCAGGCTTAAGGACGTAGAAAACGAATAGGAGCTGAGCATGGAGATGAGCAGGGTTCTGCAGTGTTAGAAAGAAAAGATCAGATTAGTGCGATCTATCAAAGCAAGAGCATTTAAGCTCTTTCTTTGGTCAGTGAAATATTAAGGAACAGAAAAATTCGCTTTATTGACTATTAAGCTAAACAGGTGTAGCTTAGCTGTTTTTCTGTGATACGTTAACATCATCATCTGCAGTGCAAATCTGTGTTGCTGTACAGCCTTTGTTATGCCGATTTATTGTGCCTTACATTTAATGAACTGAAATGTGTTGTGATGCTCAGTGGTTGATTTAGAAGGATATGGGACCCTGGAATAGAGCCAGTTTTGGTACTGTTCCCACAGAAATATCTAAATTGCAGTAGATTGATAAATAGGTAGACATCAACTTCAAGCCTTATGGAACTTGTCCACATGAATATAGAGTATTTCTGAAATTAAATATTTATTCATAGTTTCCACACAATTCCTTTATATATAAACAAGCATATTTTAGGCTTTCAACATGTCATTATACCTTTGTCATTTTATGCCCTTGGTTGCTTGGTACCCACCTTTTTTGGGTATAAAGTGGAACCTTCTCCCTCTGGTAATTTTGTTTAAATCATGCATCAGTGCATAGCTGACAAAGAGGCATTTTTCACCTGCTTTTGCAACCAACAATTTGAACTTAAACTGCGTTTAGTCATATTTTCAAATTTTTTGATATTTATTGATGCACATTTATTGATTAAACAGTGGAAAAAAATAGAACAATCCCAGGTTTGTAAACATTATTAATTAGAATTTATCATGACAAAAATGAATTGAAATCTTATCATGATAAGAAATGTATCATGATACATGATACGACTAATGCCCAACCCTAGGAAGCAACAATATTGCAATGTGTAGATAAACAAATTGGCCAGGAGCTGGTAGAAGTTTGTTTTTTTGATATTCTTGGGGCTAAGGATTGGTTGGTGATGACATCGCCATTTTTTTAATATTTCAAACATATTTTTAAATAGTCTGCACAAAACTCCACCTGTCCAAAAAATGTATTCTTGTTTTTTGCACCTCATAAAATATGTTGTTTGCAAAACATCCATTCGTTAAAGTACATATGTATTCGAGGGACTGAAACTTCAGGGTCCTGTTCTAATGCCCTGCCAGGGAGATGCTACATTATCATTTGCAGCATTACAGCTAATTATTGTTTACATGTTTTATATAAATGAAAGATGAACCTCCCATTTGTATATTGGCATATGGACTTAAAACTTTATCACAATATTTAATGGTATTTTTTTGCTATTTAAAAAATATTGACAATTAGTGAAGCTTTAACCCATCACTGTCACTTCTAAAAGTAAAACCTCACCTTTTGTTGAATAGTTGTATTTAGTCATATTTTTAAGTGTAAATGTGGAAGAATATAGTTCAAAAGCAAGAAAAATTACAACCCGAGTTTTGTTTTTTGTAGTTTCCACATATCATAAATTAGAATCTGTTGTTATTAACAGATGACAAATAATTATTCAGTTAATAACATTTTATTAACCAGTGCACATATTGCCCATCCTCAATAGACAATGTGCTTTTGACATTTTGCATGTCATTGATTTTATTTACAAAAATGTTTTAGAAATTTAAATATTTTACCAGTATTCATTGACGAGATATTCATGCCAACAAGGAGTAGAAACAATGGGTTCTTTTTATGCCATGTTTTTTGTGGTTACATCAGTGCTGTCTTTCTACTGCACTTCTTAAGAAAAAAAATACAGTAACCTCTTGTTCTTTGGTATTAACAGACTAGAGTCTTGGAAAAAATATCTAAACAAAGAAGTGAAGACATCTAGGGTACTGAACGTACAGCACAAATCTCCCACACACTTTCTCTCAACAGTGATTAATGCCACTCTGAAAAGAGGCAGAGATGGTTGTTGCTAGGATACATGGCAAGGTGAAGTGCAGGCGATTTAAACAAAAAAAGGAGGAGGGCACCGTTGACTAAGAATGGCATCACTAGCAGTAGCCTGTGTTGCATGTTTTCTTCCTCTGCTGATTTTCTTTCTTTTATTTTTTTTCTCCAATTTTTCCAAGGCTGTGGAATTCAGAGGAGTGTGAAAAGGAACGGACGGTCACACAAAGCTCTTCATTTTTTTGTGCTCTTGCTCCTTTCACCTGGAGGTAGGCTGCAATGGTTGGCACTAATCAGAGGCCTAAACCTGTCTGAGAGAGCCCTATGAACAGCCGATCCAATGGTAAGACAGCTGGGATCCTATTGGTGTGTGTAATCAGTGAGTTTGATAAAACTGTCACATAATTGATTTAGATAATTGTGAAGGAGATTTAATAATGTTCCAGGTTGCATGTAGAATGGCTGATATTTTTTTTTGGCATTGAGATTATTTTATCTCTATTTAAAAATAAACGTCCTGGTCCGTTGAGCTGAAACTGTCATGCTTTGACATGTCTTTTTTTCATATTTTAAAAGTCATCCTTGTCATTCTCAGTTAGGTATTCTTATGAGGGAAGATGTCAGAGGATGTTCTGTGTCTCCTCTTTGAGATGCTATATAAAGCCTTGTTTGAAGCCCTTGAACGGGAGGCTAAATAGGGAGATGAAAGGATGCTACGAAGAGGCTGTATTTTCTTTCCTCTACTATAATGGTGTTTTCACAATGCGTGGGCCCACAGGACATCAAAGGCCAGTGTTGGACCGACGAGGAGTCAGATGGGGAGAACGAATCTGAACAGTTCCTTTATGGAATCCAGGTAGAGAAGGCATTATCACTTCACTGTTGAAGTAGTTTTGCTAAGATGCTACACATTTTGTTTTTTTCATAAATTTCTGTCATTGCTATGTATTTAATGTATTTTTTAAATGACATAGAAGTAAAAATTTAAATAACCTCAAAATTTGACTATTGTTTGTGCCACCTTGAGCCAGTTATCTATATGTTTGAAATTGGTGTTGATCAGTCATTTACCAGACTTTCAGTTGGCCTTTCAAAGCTGTTCTTTGAAATGTGGCTTCATTATTCATTTTTATTCAGTCTTTGTCCCTGATTATGTAAAAAAAAAAAAAAAATCAGTTTTTTAGTCCTGGGCCAGAATGAGATTCTCGCAATTTAAAAACCTTGAGCAAGAATACAATACTTTCTCTGTACTTGCACCAAAAAACAAAGTGAAACTGCATAACATGGCCTGACAGCTTTTATTAAGAACACAAAAATGACTCTTAGTGCTGCTTACATAAAAAAAGTATTGATTTTAACAGCTTCAAATATGATTGCATATATCACAGGTTCTAATGTTACCTATTATATTAATTGTTATTGTATTTGATACACAGCCTTAGCAAAGATACAGAATTCATTACTGTTTTAAACCACTCCTAAACTAAAGAAAAGGCCAGGAGTGTCTTGCATGAATTATCGCTCAGAGCTCGAAAGTTATATTTTCAGATTAATGTAAATTTTGAATGTTATTTGGAAATAAAGGCTCCATATTTTTATTAGTTAGCAACAATTGCATTCATTGTTTAACAAGCACACAGAACTCCTTTTTCTTACTGTTATTTTAGAAGTGTTAGTTGGGGTAAGCTGCCTCTTTAAATATTTACATTAAATATAAATATGGTAAATATTTCCATCATAAAGTTCCACTGAGCAGGGAGAACATTTTAAAAAAAACTTCCAACATGCTGCTTGATATCTGAAACTTTATGTTCTTTTTCATAATGAATGAATGCAAAATTTATTATTTGCAGCACATTTTAGACACTGGCAAATTAATCTCCAAGACCATCAGGAAATTCATCATCTTTATCTCATAAAGTTGATAGCTCTTCTTCCACCTAAGATCTTAATCTGAGTTATCCCTTTTTTACTGTTATCTTCCAAGTCTTTTGATTGAAATGTAAATCCAGTAAAGCTCATTTCAACGAAGTCAAAGTACATGAAAGCAGTGCAGCTATGATAAGGATGGAGCTGTACTGCACACTGAGCTCAGAAGATGAGAGTTTGACTTCAAGACACCAGACACAAGCACGAAAGACTTTTTAGACCAGAAAATGATCAAGAACCAAATCTGTCTTCCAGTGGTAGCCAGAAATAATAATAAAAAAAGACTTATCTAAATACTTTGAAAGAAGTTCAAAAATCAGTATTGAGACACTTCCTCTAGTAATTCAAATTCAAAAACATATTTAAAGTAATGCATGCAGTCAGTGTTTAGTAACTTAAGTTTGTAATGTGTGTTATAATATTCACTTTTACATAAAATAAGCAATCTGGACCTTGGTGAGTGTTTGAATCTAAACTGTTTTTAAAGCTATTATTATCCCTTCAACTTTTCATCATTTTGTTCAATTATAATCATTATCAGTAATAAAAATAATATAATAATCTATGTATTTTCCATATATATTATTAGGATTTTATGTGGTAGAGCAAGTTAAATTAATACATCATTAAAACATTATTTTCTACATTTTGTATGGTGTGCCCTTGCATTCAGTCCTCAGATTTGATATTTGTGGAACAATCTTTTTAATATGATTACAGGTGCAAAATGTTTCTACCAGCTTTGCACATTTAGGACCCGACTTGTTTTTCTATTTTTTGTAAAGTAGCTCAAACTCAGTCAGGTTGAATGTAAAATACGTGAACAGCAACTCCCAAGTCTTACAACACCTTCTCTCGCCCGAGGCGTATTCTGCATGGGCCTCTTTAATAGATAAATGTCCTTTGATCCAAACTATTCTGTATACGGTACTTAGGGTGGTTAACCTGCTAAAAAATTAACACCCACATCAGCCTTATGTCTTTAGCAGCCTCTAAAAAGATTTCTTCCAGGATTGTACGGCATGTAGCTCCATCCATGTACATGTTTTATGGATGATGGGAAAACCCAAGCGCAAACAGGACATTGGCAGAGGCATGAGGCATGTTGCAGTTCAACAAAATGTGAAAAAGCTGAAGGGGTAGGAATAGTGCTGTTGCTGTGGGATGTTTGGGTGTGTGTGTGAAAATAGTCAGTATCCATTGAGAATTCATTCACTGCTATAACTGTGACCAGTGCTGCTTGTTGCAGGGGAGCTGTGCTGCTGACCTGTACCGGCACCCTCAACTAGATGCAGATATTGAAGCTGTGAAAGACATCTACACCGACAGTGCCATCTCTGTCAGGTACAGCACAGAATCATGTCCTGAAAATCTTTAAAGGTGTCCATGCTAGCTGTAATGAAATAAAATTTGCGTCCTGATTTTTAAGCTAAATAAGAAAGGAGAACATAACCTTAATTCATCTCTCACTGAGTGTAATCAGCAGAAGTGATCAGAGTCTAATGATTCACATTAGTTTTGACAGATTTACTGTGTCTGTTGCTGCATCTCTGCGCAGGGAGTACGGAACCATTGATGATGTGGACATCGATCTTCATATTAACATCGGCTTCTTAGATGTGAGTCAGCACTCTCTTCACACTGCAAACACCTCTTCCGACTTTTCCCATTACTATTCTAACGTTGACATTTTGCAAAGTAACACATCATTTATAATGCATCTGGTGCTCATAAGATATTTATGCAATGAGAAATGGCCCTAATTAGGCTGCTAACTGCGTGTATTTGTGTGTGTGTGTGCCTGATTCAGGAGGAGGTTGCAACAGCCTGGAAAGTTATAAGAACAGAGCCCATTATTCTGAGACTGCGCTTTTCTCTTTCTCAGTACCTTGATGGACCCGGTGAGTAAAGGCGCAATGTGTGTGTGTTGGTTTTCTAGCAGGGACATTAGGTATTTATGCCCCTTACTGAGTGTGGGAAGTGAGTACAATATGTGTCACACACGTGGGAGACTGAAAAAAAAACAAAAAAAAAACTTGAGTGTCTTTCTGTCGACTCTGTAATGATGTTAGTCATCTTTATTTATTCAGAGCCATCAGTAGACGTGTTTCAGCCTTCGAATAAAGAAGGCTTCAGTCTGGGCCTGCAACTCAAAAAGTAAGTGAGGCGATCATTTATAATTTATCTGTGAAAGTATTTATGCCCCTTGAAGTTTTTCACATTTTGTCACATTACAACCAAAAACTGCGATGAATGTAATATATATTTCATTTCATAGTTAAAAAAAAAGTGGAGAATAATTATTAAGTGGAAAGAAGGAAAGATGTCTGGGAAACACTATTAACGTCTGAAAAGTGTGATATGAACTGGTATTCACTTTTTAGAACCACTTTTCACCTCAGTAATGACAGCAAGTCTTTTGGGTGATGTCTCTAGATTTGATCATCTATACTAAAAGTTTTGCGCATCTTTCTTTGTAAGTAGCTCAAGTTCACTTAGTTGAGTTTAAGCCACTCAGATGCAGATGCAATATTTTATTTTCAAACTTTTACTAGATTGATAAAAGAATGTGAAATACTTTTTCATGCAATATATTATTTGTATTCTTAAATTTACTCCTTTTAAAAGGTTAAATATGTGACAAACTGTATTTAAATAAAAATGTGAATCTTTGTGAAAGCAACCATTCACAATATTTTGTCACCATGGAGGTTTAGTAAAGCTTAAAGTTTTACATATTTCATAAACATAGTAAAAATAGATTTCTAGAGCCTCCGTGTGTGGAAAAAATTTGAAAGAATTGCATCAGCACATCTAACCATATTCACCTCAAAGTAGTGGAAGCACCTCAATTATTACCTGGTTTGACAGTTGAGGAGGGCAGCCATGTCTCAGTAGGTTTGCAGCTGGGCCATACTTTCTCTATTTCTTCATAATGGATTGAAACGAGATGTTTAAAACCTGGATTTTTGTTTTAAAACCAAACACGGCTTTAATTGTCTTTCCAACTTTATCCATGACCTGTGTGGTATATCCCGTAGTCTTTATGATGCTGTTTGTTCACTAATGCTTTTTAACAAACAAATGCCTACATGTAAGATTACGGTTGTAACATGACAAAATGCGAAAAAAAAAGTTAAAGCTTATGAATGATTAAGAATGTAATTCTTTAAACTGATTTTCCTTTACAGTTTAGACGTATGATTCAGCACAGCTCAGACTCACTCTAGTCATGTTTTTATGGTGGCAGGATCCTGAGCACATTCACCTCACAGCAGTGGAAGCACCTCAGCAATGAGTTCCTCAAGGCCCAACAGGAAAAGAGGCATAGCTGGTTCAAAGCTGGAGGGACCATCAAGAAGTTTCGTGCTGGGCTCAGCATTTTCTCCCCAATTCCCAAGTAGGTTTATTTTTTAAAAGTATAACTTCTATAAAATAAATATATATATTTTTACATATTTGCTAAAACTGTCACTGTGTTGTGACAGATAGTCTGTGAAAAGATTGAGCTCCTCTCTCCCTGAGCTACTGTTGCTGTCTGAAAAAACTGCATCACTTCCAGTCAAAAACAGCCAGTCTAACAACTAACTGTAGCAAATATGACAAGAGGGGGAAGAAAAAGTCAACACAGCATCTTGAACGCCGACTTAAATTCAAAAGCTGACAAAAGTCCCTGAGGGAAGGAAGCATTCCTCTCACTCCCTCTCTAGGTTTGACAGGTATGAGTGCACAGGGATTGAATACTGACCCACTTGATGGTGGCCGACTCCACTAACTAGACTGCCCTGACATCCTAATGACTTGATAGCAGTCTCATGTCAAGGGGGTACTTGTATAAGGTACTGAGAGTAATGGCAGAAATGGTCCTTGTTGTCTAACAGTTAGTAACTGGAGTTACTGTCCAAATCGATTTCAGTTGGCTGCCTTGTGTCGACTTTTAGTGTAGACTGAGAGACAAGAGCAAAAAATGCCTCCAGAAACCCACCAAGGAATATAGTTGAGTTATTTTACAGGGAAAGTCAAGTACCTTCAAACCTGCAAACTTTCTGCTCTAAATTCAAACCCTTCTAGTACACCTTAGAATATCATCACAAAGTGTCTGTATTTCAGTGATTTAATTTAAAAATTGAATCCAGTCTATTGTATAGCTTCACTACGCATAAAGTAATATATTGCACACATTTACTGTGTTTCTGTACATTTTGACGATTGTGACATAAAGAAAACAAAAATGTTAATTTTAGTTTCTGAGAAAATTTCTCATTAACATAAGTTATTGTTGACACTAGATCAGTACAAAGGATTTTCTTAAGCATATAAATGTTATATACTGCAAATGAATTTAGCCTGGGGAGGCAATGGCTTATTTTGGGGGGTGGGGGGATACAGTAAAATGGCTTTTTTAAAAATATACTCAAATAACACATCCTAGATCTGAATGAATGAAATATTCTCATTGAATACTTTGTTCTGTACAAAGTTGAATGTGCTGACAACAAAATCACACAAAAATCATCAATGGAAATCAAATTTATTAACCAATGGAGGCCTGGATTTGGGGCCACACACAAAATTAAAGTGAAATGTTCCCTTTATTTTTTTGAGCAGTATATATGAATAAACCTATATGTATATTTATCATGCAACATTTCAAATGCAATACCTATGTTGTTAATTAATACAAAATACATAATTATAACATTAGCAGTGACATGTACAAAATGCTGGTGAAAAAACTGGCGCTAGCATAACACGTTAACGATGGATTAAACAGAGCGGCTGAAAGAATGCGGGAGACACCGATAACGGTAAGGAGAAAGAGGCTGAACTGCAGCAGTTCCAAAAACGGTGGATTGGGGCAGCACAGCAGTGAATGCCTCATGTATACTTTTTGACCTGCCCCATTGGCTGCATTACATTTATTTTATTTTTGAAGAGACAAAAGAAGAAACTTTCATGAGTTACAATATTTGTTTGTTTGTGATTTGCAAACTCTTCCCTGTGTCCTTTGGTTTGCTAATCCTGCCATTCCAGGATTAGTGACCCCCATTGCCACAAAAATTTTCTGGAAGCACCCGTCGGTCAAATTCCTTTGCAAAAGACTGTAAACCTTGCATTTTATTAATAGAAATCAAATATTTTGCACATTTAGTCTAATTTTCTGAGAAACAGAATTTTGGATTTACATTAGCTATAAGCTGTAGCCATCACACTTATCGAAACAGACACTTGAACTATCTGTAGTTATTCTATATAGTATAAATTAAACTTATTGAATTGAATTAATAAGTAAAATAACTCTGATATTGTAACTTAATGAGATGAACCTGTAGTCTAAATATTTTTTTTTATCTTTTCAGGTCTCCAAGTTTCCCTCTGATCCAAGACACGGTTCTAAAAGGGAAGCTGAGTGTCCCTGAGCTGAGAGTGACCCGCCTGATGAACCGCTCTATCTCCTGTACAATGAAGAACCCTAAAGGGGAACTCTTTAGCTATCCACCAAACAGCCAGGTTAGGGTCATTTTGGTCCTTTCACCTCCCAGACCTCTGTTATTGTGAAATTTACTTTCCAGTTAATTAAAGTTTTACTGTGTGGTGTTATTGCTCCATTTATTCTTTTCAGTTTCAACTACACGCTTGTCTTCGTCCACCTGTCACCTGCATTGTTTCACCTGAGCCTTTCCCTCACCCTTACCAAAACATAGTTGGTGTGCCCTTTCCCATAATGCTTTGTCTTCACTTGACCCATCAGACTGTAGCTGTCCCGGCGGCCAGGGCCCCAGCGCAGATTACCACGAGGCAGCTGATTGAATTGTTTTTTTCATCCCAGGCGGGCGGCCACTGCAAGAACATCCCTACTTTGGAGTACGGCTTCTTGGTGCAGGTTAGATCCTAAGAAAATATATCCTCATAGTCAAAAACATTTGTACTCCCTGTTTCAGTTATTAAATATTGTTTAGGACACAAACAGGAGCTCGGTTAGTCTCTAACCCCAACATGAGTTTTCAGCTAAATAAAGCCAAAAATATAATTATATCTGATTTTATGTAATAGACCAACATGAAGTAATAAATAATTAAGTAGAAGGAAAGAAGATCCATTGTTTTGTTTAGTTTTTTTTATCTTAAAAATGTGGCATATGTATTGGCTCCACCTGAGTTAGTACCTCGGTTGTGATTGCAAAGTCTTTTTGTGTTTGTCTCTACAAGCTTTGCACAGCAGAAGACTGAATTTTTTTGCTGTGCTAAATAGCTTAAGCACATTAAGACTGATTGAGGAGTGTCTGTGACAAGAATTTTTCGAACCTTACGATTACTATTAATAATGAGTTTGTTTATTAGTAGTCGGTCTTACTTTTGATTTACCTATTTGAGAAATGATTTGAAAACATTTGGTTGTTGCTCTGGCTGTATGTTTATGATTGTCCTGCTGAAAGGTGAAACAGAGCCACAGTTTCAGCTTTTAAAACTCTGTTAGATTTTATTCCAGTATTGTCCTGCATCTATCTCCATCTATATTCCGATCAACTCCAACTGATGAAATAAAATAATGCAGCTTTCCTTGCAGGAAAAGTTGCGTCGTGATGTTGCCAACATAAGTGGAGTTCACTTTTTGAGAACTTTGAAATAATCAAGCTGTTTTTGCACACTGAAGTTGAAGTGGTTGAATCTCATCCAGACATCATTTAGCGGTGCTTTATTCAGGATTGAGTTATACTGTGCTACTCAAGGACAAACTCTTGAATATTTTATGCAAAAAAAGAGCTGCAACATTTTCCCTGAAAATGAGGTTGACTTGTCTAAAAATGGCTCATGTAGCTTTTAAACATAAGTATGTTAGCTGAAGTCTCACGACCTAACCACCAAAACTTATTCATTTAACGAAAGTTTTTTGCACACTGATTTAATTGTTCGCGAGGAGGAGACACAATGCAGACGATCTGAAAACTCTGCAGCTCACTCTGACACACTTCTTACGATTCTCTCAAATGGGGCAGATTTAACTAAAATAGCACAGATGATTTTGGTTTAAATGTTGAAGATTTTGTCTACAAGCATACTGTAACGGTATCATGTATTGGATTTGTTTTAGCTGCCATATAACCATAATTTGAAATTTTCTTCATCAGAATTTTGCATGAGGCAATGTTTCTTTCCCTTTGACGTTTTTGATTGTGCATTGTCATTTTAAAGGACAAAGAAGAAATCTCTCACAACAAATCTAGTTGGCAGTGATTGTATAAGTGGGTTAAGCGCAATGCACTGTACGTAGAGGACCACACATCTGCTGTCTCACTTCGGTCTGTTTCTAAAACCCTATTGCAGATTAAACCACATAAAATTGCAGTGACAAATTGTCCTTCCGAATTGATTTTTTTCTGTCTGCACAGCCTTTATTCTTGTAAACATCAGTGCTGCAGGTGGGAGTTATAATTGGCAATTGCATTATGCTTTTTCTTGTAACAGATAATGAAGTACTCAGAGCAGAGGATCCCCACTCTTAATGAGTACTGCGTGGTTTGTGACGAACAGCATGTCTTTCAGAATGGGTCCATGCTGAAGGTATCAAGAAAAGAGACACACTCCTATATTAATATTTAATTTGGTTTCTTACTTTCTACATATTTGACATACACTATGCATAAACAAAACACATATCTATCTGTGTATATCATTCTATATATTTATTTTTATTTTCCTAGTAATAGCATATTAATCATGTTTTATCTCTTTCTCCTTTTTTGTCGTTTTTACTGTGTTTTTGCAGCCTGCTGTGTGTACCAGAGAGTTGTGTGTGTTCTCCTTCTACACTCTGGGTGTGATGTCTGGAGCTGCAGAAGAAGTGGCAACAGGAGCAGAGGTAACAACAAACACATATGTGCAGTATTTTAGGGGTCAACATTTTGACATTCATTTAGAAAAAAAAGTCAGAAAAAAACTTACATAGACCATTATAAGACATTCCCCTAATTAGTTGTACTTTTATTTTTATGTATACTGAGAGACATCAAACTAATTGGTATTAACCTTTTCTAACCCTTCCCAGGTTGTGGACCTGCTTGTGGCTATGTGTAGAGCTGCACTTGAGTCCCCACGCAAGAGCATTATCTTTGAGCCCTACCCATCGGTTGTGGATCCAAATGACCCCAAAACTCTTGCATTCAACCCAAAGGTTTGCATTCCCACTACTTAATGCATTATTCCAAGTAATTTTAGAATTGATTTAAGAAATGTGTAGTCTGTTTTATTTGATAAACTGCTGTCACAAGATTTTGTTTTATATTTATTTTAAAGTTGTTGTTGTTTTTTTTTTCATAATAATTCTTTCCTTCTCCTCTGCATTTGTTTGCTTTCACCTGGACACAGAAGAAGAATTATGAAAGACTGCAGAAAGCACTGGACAGTGTCATGTCCATTCGTGAAATGACCCAGGTACAAAAAAGAGGCAGGAGGGACAAATCTTTATCAAGAATAGAAAGTCCTTCTGTCTGTATAATAATTTGCATTTTCCAAGTACTTATTTGATTTTTGGCAGACGGAAATAAACAGCAGATGCTTCTCTGTTGTTTTCAGGGTTCATATTTGGAGATCAAGAAACAGATGGACAAACTGGACCCTTTGGCCCACCCTCTGTTGCAATGGTGAGAATTCATTCCAAAAATGTGTTTACACTCACTCTTTAAAAAGCACGTTAAACTGTAAATATCCCACATATCCACACACATACCACTACACTACTGCAATTAATAAAAATACAAATTGTAATATGAAAAATATGCTTTATTATTATTATTGTTATTAGAATGAATTCTGTGTTTCTTTGTAGGATCATCTCCAGTAATAGGTCTCATATTGTCAAGCTGCCTCTCAGCAGGGTATGAATTCAAGATATTATCCCTTTTGTCTCCAGAAACAAAAACACATTTTCATTATGGTTTTTTAAACATATTCTCTCTCTGTCTCTCTCTGGTTTCTGATTGCGTTTCTACAGCAACTGAAATTCATGCACACGTCCCACCAGTTCCTGTTGCTCAGCAGCCCCCCAGCCAAGGAGGCTCGCTTTCGCACCGCCAAGAAGCTCTATGGCAGCACCTTTGCCTTTCAGTGAGTTAACCCTCGCTAATGGAAATTCCTACCATCTATAAAAAATTTTACAAAGCGCTGGGACAACCTATTTCTTCTTTTAAAAAAATATGTAAAGTAACTTTTTTTTTTCTTACATTAAAACCTACCTCTGGCATCAAAATATTTGAGAAAATATAGCAGGATAATATCCCCAACAACCACTATAATTTATTATTAGAGCATGACACCCTAATTATAATGGATATGCCTGAGTGTAATTTTAATGAAACCATTACAACAAAAGGACAAAGCAGTGACTGCTCTCTTGGACTGAGAGGACACCTTTCTAAGCCAGCACATGGAGCCAATGATATTTATGTGAGCGAGATAGAGATTTGTCCTGCAGCAGATGGGGCTCTGCAGAATATTTTAGATACACTCGACCCATCTGGGCAGTGTCAAAGTAAAGCACACACAGTGCTGACACTCTCCCTTTTGCTGCTGGTTAAAGCTTTAGATTTATTAATTCCAAATAAACATTTCTAATATTTAATTGAAGCTGAGTGTCATCGCTCTATTTTTTACCTCAACAGACATTATGCAAAACAGAAATAGCTTCGCTTTTAGAATTTAGAAGACATGCCAAACAAAGGTAAGTGATAAGTTTATTTAATTATGTCAGGAAAAATACATTTTCTCAAGTCCAGCAGCCTTGTAGCGATCTTGGCTCTTTTCAATAGAGATTAAATACCTATATTGGGAAATCCAGTCAGTAGTCATACATATTTTAAAATCTAATTTATAAATAATAAATGACAGCTGAAGATTATCCTGCATTTTTAAACAGTCCTGCATAATTTGTATAAATTGCACTACAGTTGAGACTTCGATCGAATCAAACATTAAACATGAAAAAACACTTCACACTTCTTTATAGTTTATCTTCAGTGCCTGGTCGAAAAGGAAATTATCAACACATTTAAAACAAAGAAAAAACAGAAAACACAGGCAAAAAGAATTCATTTAGAACAAAACACTACAATAGAACAAAATATTTTAGTTTAGCTTCATTTTGATTGAGTCCATCAAATTAAATTTTAGTTCAATTCAGTTGAACTCTGTTTAATTCAGATTCTTTAAGATACATTAACTTCTAATAAATTCACAGCAAATGCCATCTTCAAGAGAAAGAGGTGCAATTAATACCCAATTATATTGTAATGTATAACCAATCCAGTCCTCTGCAATCATATAATGATTTAAATTCAATGCAGTTCAGTTAATTCATTTCACATCAATTCAGTTCAGTTTAATTCAGATAATTTTAAATCTGTTTTTTTCATAGCAACAATTGATAACAAAGTAACTCTTAAGATTGTTTACAAGGAGACGAGGGTCAAATTCATGTCCAATTATTGTGTAATACACAGCTCCAAGTTGTTATGCTCATACTTTGTCTTTTCTTTTCTCTCTTTACGCCAGTGGATCCCATATAGAGAACTGGCACTCTGTTCTTAGAAATGGACTGGTCAACGCCTCTTACACCAAGCTGCAGGTAGGTTTTACTTCAGCTCGGATTTATGAAGCTTCTTCCCACAGACGGTAAACCTGCTCTTTTACGACGCAGGCTTTCCATCAGGCTGATCCATATTTGCTATCAATAGATGTCTCATCTTGTCAATTTTTCTTGAGAACAGGCCACAGTGGCAGATGTTTCCGGTCAATATCGGCCACTTTCAGCAGATACCATATTCCAGCTTGGAGCAGTAGGAGTATGCTGTGGTTTCAGCTGCCATGTCAGGAGGCTGCCTGTGTGCCCTGTGGGGGTCGGTCACACGCTAAAAATGTTAGAATACTGTAGAATACAAAAGAAAACTTTAATAGTTGTGAGTAACGTTTTTTGGGGAGGGCGAAGACACGCTTCTTTTAAATTAGAACTTTCACATAAATAATTCATTCAAACCTGAAATAAACAGGACGGATACAATTTAAAAACCAAAATGGCAGAAATTAGCCTAAATAAACTTTCTCTGAGTGCTAACCCAGCACAAGAGAGAGCACAGCATTGCCTCATTTTCAGAATACAGCCGATAGTGGCTGCTTAGAGACACTTGCATAACCTGAAAATAGATTAAACAGAACTCAATCAAAAAAAACTTGAGCTCATTGACTCATTCTTGTCAGCTGCGATTGCTCTGTCACGCTGATATGTCTCATTTATGCCGCCTTTGTTCTCCCGAGTTTTTGAACTCTCCATCTTGGATCTTGGCTCGGTGCTTTTTGCCTCCTCCTCTTTGTCTCTGCTGGAGCATCCGCACCCTTCCTTTGTCACCGTCTTTCACAGAACAAAGGAGACTGAGTCAGTCTCCACCTTCAGTTAACACACAAACCTCACGTTCTTCTGTTTTTCATTTTCTGTAAAAGTGTCTGTGTGTGTGTGTGTGTGTGTGTGTTCTCCCTCGTAATTATGTCTTTCACAGACATAATCTATGCATTAGCATAAATTACATAAGTGTATGTCTGGCAAATGTATTCATAAAAATTTTAATTCAAAGTTAAACCTTTGTCAAAATACAAACACAAACATCAACTGTGAATGCATTACAGACAAGCACAAAATAATATATTTGTGACATGGAAGATAGAGGATGCTGTTTTTTTTTAAAAATCTTTTTTGACAACTAAAGATTTTAAACTTGTTGCATCTGTTATCACCCTCTCCCTCTTTCATTTTCTGTCACCCTCTCTGAGCTGTGGATGCAGAGATCCACCCCTCAGGTCATAGACTCTGCTGACAGGATAAAATAACGTCCTTTCCCGTTGTAGTCAGATGAGACCAAAGTTAAAATTTAACTTTGTGGTCTGCATGCATGTTGGTAAACAAAGCAAAAAGGACATGTCCAAACCTGGTGGTGGCAGCATCATGCTGTGTGGATGAATGTGTAAGCATCGCTTTGTTTTAGATTTTCATTTGTAAACAAAATGTAAGCGCAATTCCAAACCATGTGTCCTTTATTCCCCCTTCACAATTGTGGAATATTTTGTGTTGGTCTATCACATAACATCCAAATGAACATTGAAACATTGACGTTTATGGTTGTAAAGTGACACAATTAAAAATGTTTGGAGGATCTGCACACTCTTTGTGACTCTGTAAATGTTACCTGAATACTACAATGTTATACAACAGAATTCCATCAACAAAATTCAACCACAACACACTCCTTCTCCTTTTTGTTATCCACTTTCAACTATTTGGATTCTCTTGTGTGAACTTTTTTTTTTTTTTGACAACTTTCACACAAGAAAAGCTGTGTGAAACTTTTCACACAACTTTCTTTTGGTGAAAAAAAAAATCAGCTTTTTTCACCAAAGCTGATTAGGAAGAAATTGGGCTGTATTTGTGTGTGCCTTATTCATAAATGTAAAGCTCAGTTACCCATCCTTCCTTCCTGCTCTTTTCAATCCCAAGCTGCACGGCGCAGCGTATGGAAAGGGCATCTATCTCAGCCCCATCTCCAGTATATCTTTTGGATACTCAGGTAGGAATATGTTGTTTTCGCCACTAAGACCTGCTATCCCCGCTTCTAATCAGTGTCTTCCTGATGTGGCCTGATCATCACGACGGAGCACGCCATTTTTTTTTTTTTTTTTGTCTTACAGCCGTCAATATGTTGTGCTGCTGTTTTGTGGCATCATGTCTGTTCATTTGTAAAAGCTGAGGCTTGTGTACAACCTGCCTTTCCATACTTTATGTTGTGGTTGTTTTGGTTTTGGGTTTGTAACATCAACATTGTTTGTTTTTTTTTTTCCATTTTTTTTTCTATTGTACTGTAATTTTGTAGTGTTTGTAGAGAGAATATGTCAGACGGTTGCAAATTTCCTGCTTGTGGACCAAGAGTCCAAGCAAATGATCAGAACTTATGTTAAAGTCCAGTGTATTCTTGTAAAGAGTTTCCCAATATTTCAGAAAGACTACAATTTCCAATTGTTTTGTAGGCATTTTTTTTATTTTATTTATGCATGCAAACATTCTGTACACACTCATAAAAACTCTGAAATTGAATTCATCAGTGAGCATATTATGTATTCCTATTCAGGCTGCTAACCAAAACTTTCGAAATAAAGTAATTTCCTTGAAAATGATATGAAGATAAAGTTTACACAACCTGAGTGACTCAAAGTAGCATTTTTCTAAGACAATTTTATTGGCCTTGCTGTGTTGTCTTGTGTAGGAATGGGGAAAGGACAACATCGCATGCCCACCAAAGATGAGCTGGTACAGCGTTACAACCGTATGAACACCATACCGCAGGTGAGGCGCACATTGCACTCTTATTTGTGTTAAAATGATGAATTTGAAATTAAACATTTTCTTTAAATATGTGTTTTGCCACTGTATTGTGGCAGTTTTTTGTTTTTTGCCTTATCTCAATACAGACTTTCATTGCCTAGAAAGTGAAAAAAAACCACACAAAAAAACATTGTCCTTTGAACACATCAGTTAGATCTTAATCTAAACTGCAACCCATGACTGTTTTTCACTGTAGAGCCGCCCAATACAATCAAGGTTTCTGCAAAGTCGAAACTTGAACTGCATTGCTCTTTGTGAAGGTAATACCTGAGCTAACGGTGAAATACATGTTTGTGTTTGATAAGTGGACTTTTGAATGTTTCTTTGTTGATAACATATTTAATGCAGAAGATGTGATATTAATTTAAAACCTGCACTCTGTTTGGACCATGCACAATATGTTATGCAAAATGTAATTTACTAATAAAAACAAATCTTTTCTTATTATTGATTTATTCACCAAATAAGTTCATACAGCACAAACATTACAGACTAACAAACTGAGGTACTGATCTACAAAATAACAAATAACTAGTTAATGGAAATAACTAGTTGTTTTCATTAGGTTTGTAGTGTTATAATAATTATAAATGAGAATAAGTTCTAAATTATCTCACCTATTTTAATAAAGGTCAAATAAAAATGTCTGGATTTAAATGAGGAGTCGTTCAAACATGACAATATTGAATACAAACAGTTTTTTTGTGTGTTTTTCTTCCTCAGTGATCACTTCTAAAGATCTCCAGAAACACGGCAACATATGGGTGTGTCCGGTCTCCGACCATGTCTGCACCCGCTTCTTTTTTGTGTGAGTAATCCTGTCACCGTGACGAAAAGCACCATTGCCCTTTGATGGAAAATTGTTAAAATGAGTTGTCATTTTTCCAACAACCACCATTCTGAGGTTTTGGCATAAAGGAAAATATCATTTATTTATTCATCAAAACACTTATATTTATATTTAAAACATTATTTCTTTTTTTTATGTTTTTAACCAAAGTTAGTAGAAGCCATTGTGCAAGGTCCAAAGAGCCACTTCTGGCTCCGAAGCCGCAGGATGCAGGCCCCTGGTGTATCACTTAAAATGTTCTGTATGTTACAATAAAGTTTGTTTAGCCAATGTAGTCATAAGCTGCTAAGATCAGCAAATACTCCAGCGTGAAAACCTTTACAAGCCAATGTTTATAATAGTTTTTTGTGTATAATTGCAGGTATGAGGATGGCCAAGTAGGGGATGCCAACATCAACACTCAGGAGCCAAAGGTGCAGAAGGAGATCATGCGTGTGATTGGGACCCAAATTTACTCAAGCTAATGGAGGTTCCGCAGCAGATCTATCGCTGTCTCAGCAGGGGGGAAGCAGACAAGACAGACAATTGAAGCAAACGTTTTGAGCGAGCTGTCCTTAGGCCAGATACTGAGGGATGAAAAGCTCCTGAGCACATCACTACCGACATGGTTTAACTCTAGTGTTCTTGTTTTGTCCTCTTTCTCTTGTGTTTCACCTTCTCCACATTGTTACGACTTACATGTTCGCCTGACCCTCAGTTAGGTTGCACCTGGTTTAAATCAGCTTTCCCCCGGTTTTTACTGCTGTCTACACAAATGCACACATTTTTCTGGGCTATATTCTTGTTGCTGTGTGTTTACTTTAACTGATTCAGTTTTTTATTCTTCTTTGTGAATATGTAGTAAAACAACTATTCATTCCAAATGATTATTGACCTTTTTATGGCAAATATTGGAGAGAATTATGCACACATAGAAGTTAGTTTTTTTTTAGTGTGTTTGGAAAGTTATTATTGGTCATTATTTCCTGCAGTATTTTCTGACTGAAGACATGAACCGAGGCCGTGATTAGCGGAGGGAAACACACCACTTGTCCACTGATACTTCTGGGCTGTCAAAAGTAGTTTTTGAAATTCAAACTTAATATCAGTGTATATACTTTGTTTTGTATAAAAATATCTACCATAGCTAATCTGTTCATGATAATTTTTATGGTCCTATTGACCATGAAAATTTCCATTTTTTGGCCTTTTGAGATTTTGGTTTGTTTTTTATTAACTATTTTAACAAACACAACACATAAACAATGATAAATTATGCAGGTTCTCAGATTGCAATGATAGATTTGAATTAAACAAAATAAGATCCAATTATCTTAACACTAAACAGAGTACATAAAAGTAAATATTATTTAGTGATGCATTATCTGACTGAAAATTTAGGTTTTTAAGCTGCCAATTAACAGTTAAATCCATTTACATATAACACAAAACAAACAGATTTACATTTCAGACATAGTTTCGTTTAATTAACCTAATTGGGTTATAGGAAGCACATTGTGAACCATAAAAACTCCTTAACCTGAAATATAAATAATAGAAAAAAGACCTTTGCCCCACCGAACCATTTCAAGAAATGATGGCATAAAATGTAGGATTTGTTGTATTTATTAGCTCCAGCTTTGTTTTCTTATTTATTTGGAATGCATAACCCACAAAGAGAGAATTACGATGGATGAAACATCAGAATAAAGCTGTCGCTATCAGAGGGCATAACAGTGATGCAAATTTGTACAGTTAAAACCAGATATGGTAGTTTACTTTGGTCGTTCTCCATTTTCAAAAAAACCATTTGTGCTCAAACATTAACTTCTTGGCTTATGTATTGAAATACTGCTTCAATAAGTTTCCTAAAATTGTGTACCTTTGTAAGTATTTACAAATTCTGTCTCTTTTGGTTTCCTTTTAGAGTTTTGTCTTTTTCCTTAATCAGTGATCTTTCAACCCATGTTGATACAGGACCAGTTTCTCTATGAATACTTACCTCTTCTTACTATCTTGGCTGATTTCTTTAGATTTGGACGTCACACAAGAAATTATTTCAGATGCTGGAAATAATCAGTTGCTTACAAAATAATGACATCATTGTCAGGGGTTTCTCAAACTGTTTAAATGCATAGTAATCACAGTCCTTGCAAAGTTCTGAATCTGAGGAGAGGAAGAACAAAATATCTGGAGTATTATTTCACTAAAAATAGGGAGCATCTGCTTCAAACCAATACCAATGGATGGATAGATTCTCTCTTTCATTTAGGGTGCATTTGGCAAATTAAAAAATAAAACTCCTGGCGTAAAACATTTAAACTTTAGTCTGATTTAATATCAAGGTTGTGTTTTTTTTGTGTGTTTTAAAATAGTATCTGGTTTCAACTGTACGTCAGATTGCTGGGACTATCCTGACTCAGTAGGGGGAAAAAAACAGTTAATTTAAGTTGTGATCATATTACTGTGATAGCCTTTTAACCTTTTGTGCATCATCAATTTTTTATGAGTCATCTCTACATAATATGAATAATTTGCCGTGCTCATTTTCAAATGACCATCTGTGCGAATGAGCAACACTTTCCACCGGAACTCTACAATCGGAAAATGTGGACTTTCCCAAAGCCCAAAAAAATGTTCTGGCAGCATTCAGTCCAGGTGAGCTCTGTATTTTCTTGATATTACGCTACACATTACACGTATTCAGCGTTTGCCTAAAATGGGGACAGTGACTGTCATCAGACCTGCAGTAGACAGGAAGTAGAATACAAAAGGTGAGAATCAAACAAACTGAAATATACAACTTGTTGGCTGCGGTATGTCTCCACAAAAATGAACTTTTAAATGTTATCGAAACTGGAATTCTAACCACTAAGTGGACTTGAAGACTCTGGAAAGAAAGCAAATTGTATGTGTGTATATATATGGATGATGGACATGATGGACATGTGATGCTGACCCACTGCAGTGCCAGACTCTACGAACAGCTGATAACTGTTTCTGCCAAGATGTGTGAACGATGAGTCTTTTTAGGGGGCTTATTGTCTCACCGTCTGTCTCTGCTTTGTGATGTCTCAGAGATTATGACGACAGCAAGGATGGTGATTGTGGCGCTGGTGAAAGGCAGCCGTGCTGGAGAAAACTAATAAAACTTGATTTTGCACAGTTTTTACAAACAGCTTTATTTGCTTTGATGTCTGTTGACAATGTGTGACAATCAACCATAGACATTGTCTATTGTTGATGAGGTTTTCTACTGCTGTTTCAGCCAGAAGGGGGCAGTATTACTCCACAGCCTTTCAAGCAGGCTGACAGCTCAGTTTGCAGATGAAAGAAGATAAAATCAAACCCTTTTTTTCTGCCTTTTCACAATTCTCACATGTATAATTTTTTGTAATCAGGGATATTTGATGGTGACACAAAGGAATTATTTATGATCTGCTCTCTTATTCACAAAGCCATCATGTCTGAGAATACTAAGCTCTTTCAGCTGTCTTTATCATGACTAGGTTTCGTCATGCTTGTATTTACATTGTTGTATTTACAACAATGTAAATACAAGCATATTTTTTTTTTCATTTTTCAGCTATGATTGTAGAAGAGAAGAAATGAGCAATTCCATCAACACAATGACAGGCACTGCAAGCCATCTCCGTCTGGCCCCTCTCGGTTTCTGTTGCTCTCTCCGACCACAGAAAGCTCTCCTATTTCAAACCTCCACAGCAGTCCGGTCTGATTGCTGTTTTGGCACACGGGGCCCTGTATGTGTACAAGCCTTGGCTGTGTTGAGAGCAGTCTTGATCATAGGGGAGCCAAAGCACTCACAGGCTCTTCAGAAGTACTTTACGTTTGTATGTGTAGCTGGTAATTGCCTCATTTTGTAAGACGACCTATTTGACATGGCACATGGTTTGGCCTTTGTGCTTATAAATGTACATATATGCTCGTGAGTACCAGATGATGCGTATAGTTTGCAAATGACTATGATCTCTGTTACCAGGACCTCATGTTGGACATGGTCTCCCGGTTTGGCTTTGTCACCCAGTACCAAAGCCAGCTGGCTGGTTGCTTGCAACTGCAAATCGCTTCGATCCAAATGGTGTTTCATGCACAGTTACGTCTTTGACCACAGAGGGGAGCTCTTGTGTCATTCTGCTGCTCCTTTGTTTCAGTAGCTTTCTTTGCATACTTAGCATACACTCCTGCAAACCCACACACACCTGCTGGTAAACAAATACACACACTCAAACACTCCACTGTGGTTGTTTGGTCAGATAAAGGAGTAGTGACGGGAGGGCACAGGGTCACTGAGGGTTGTCTGGCCCTCATCGGATGCGGCTGCTCCCAGCCTCGCGGTCTCCTGCCTTTGTAATAAGTGTGACCGCTTGATTCCTGCACAAAAGGAGCAATTACTGGGAGTTGTTTAATCACCCACATTTTTATTGAGCACGGGGTCTTTTAGCTTGCAGCTCAGGCCCTCGTCTGCGGCGGCAGCCGGTGACAGGAGTGACAGAGAAGGTCAGTGGTTTAACGGGGCGCGAAGGGGTTTCGTTTGAATTAAGACTTTGTGGACTACTGTGCGCACTGTGAAGGCCCTTGAGACGGAGACAAAGAGCGAGACGAGACCAGGGGCAGGTTTGCTGGCCGAAGCAGAGAGATGGATGGACTTAAGAGAGAGAGAGAGAGACTACAGAGCAGAGTGCAGATCTTGGTGGACACGTCATACTTGGATCATTTTATTTGCCAGAGTTAAATCTGCAGAAGTTCTTGTTATCGGGGCGCAGGGCATTTTTATGCAGTGACACAAGACAAGGGACTTGGTGTTGTATTTTAGAAGGGGAGATAATGATGTCTGAAAATAAAGACTTTAAACTAACTGCAAAATAAACAAATGTTGGACACCTTGAAACCTTGCAAACAGTACAAGTACACCTGGGTATATTACAATAAATTTACTTAAATAATTCAATTCAGTAAGTGGAAGTCATTTGCTTGAAAGTTGCATACATGCAGTGACATATTTTAACTCTATTTTTGATAATACTGCTAATATTTTTTTTTCAGAAATTCAGAATATGACACTAGATCAATTAAAAACAACAACAAAAAAAGATTTCTAAGAGAAATGTTGGCCTGCTGCAAGAAATTCTTATGGGATATTTGTGCTTCACGTGGCTGGGACTGTTTTTGGGATGCAGAAATGCAGCAAGCTTGGAGGCGATCAGCTTTTGGCATGGCTGAGGTGTTATGGATAGCGGCCTTTTGCTTGTCTGCATTGTTTGGCCTGGCGTCTCTCATAAGGAGATTAGGTCAAGCAAATTTGCTGACCAATCAAGCAATCATACCATGGTCATAAATGGTGTACTTTTTTTTTTTTTTTTTTTCCATGTGGGCAGGTGCCAGTTGATGCTGGAAAATTAAGTCAGCATCTCCAGAAAGCTTGCCAGCGAGGGAAAGCATTAAGTGCTCCAATGTAACACACTGATGCACTGACCTTGGACTGGATGAAACAACTTGTACCAACACCGGCAGAGGACATGGCTCCACAAAGGGACATGGATTAGCTGCCTCTTCCCTGTTCCTTTAAACTCCTTGATTTCAGAGTGAGTGGGAACATTTATTTTCATCTAAAGTACAATTTTCGGGACTTTGAACATATTCTAAAACAATTCAGTCACCTTCTTCTTAGCCAGGCTTGTGAATAAACCAGTAACAACAAGCTACTGGTTGAACTGTCTGGTTGCTGAAATGTGCTGTGCAAATAAAATAATTCAAGGAGTGCAACAGTTGTCTGAAATTTAAACTTTGTGAATCTCCCCCAAACTTTTTTTTAAGCATGTTTTTCCTTCCACCAAACCATCAACTAAATGGCGTACGGCCAGCTTCTTCAGCAAAGATCAACAAATGACTACAAAACAACTGTCACCAGTTTCCTTCATGGTGGAGAAGGCCATAACATGAAATTTCTGAATCAAAGTAAAATTTTAATGGGCTTCAAATTCAAATTTCCAGAGATTAATTTTGGATTTTTATAAGCTGCAAGGCAGAACCGTCAAACGTAAGTCAAATAAACATTTAAAATGCATAATATAAGTTCCTCTTTTTGAATTGAACTACAGAAATAAACTAACTTTTTCACGATATTCTAATTAATCTAATTGCATCTGTATAGAATGTATGAATTTCTATGGTTGCAGTAATGACAGAATCACAGACATGTTTTCTTGAGAGGAAAAAGGAAGCTTAAAAAACCACAAAAAAAAAAAAAAAAGCCTGAACTCCTATTCAAAGCACTATTCACTGTCAGTGTGAGTGCTTTTTATTGAATTTTCATGCTAGGTGTTACTTTGTATTTTTGGTGTGCATGCAGAGCCTCTCCCACTCCTCCTCCACTTCTTGCTAGGATATGAATGATGGAGTACTAGTGGTCTTCTCTTCCCTTGGAGATAACAAGGATGGTGGTGCGAGGTGAAGAAGGAGAATGGGGTTGTGATGGACTGAATAGCTAATGTTGATGGTGGTGGTGTTGAGGTGGCACAAAATGCCAAAGAATCACACAGCAAGGGAAGAGTGGTGCATGGTGGAAAGAGATAAAGCGGTGATGAGGATGAGAGGGAGGAGGAAGGAAGGAAGGAAGGAAGTACACCATTGCTTGCTCATAAAGCCAACAGCTGTGTGGGTAATGTTTTGTGACACCGAGCCTCTCCGAGCCCTTCTGTTTCCCAGAGAGCAGGGGGGGACGCCATATTCCGTCGTCACAAATGGCTCTGTCATTCACCCCCTAAGTCTTAATTATCGCTCGCAGTTTTTTTGGCCATGTCTCGCTCTGGCGTATGGATCCATCTGCACGTTGTATAATTCCACTCCGCAATTTACAAGTGGCATTTATTACAATGGCCTCCGCAGCATCTCCTCTTTAACACCAGCAGCCCTTTCCCGGAGAGATGTGGTGGGGTGGGGAGTGGTGGTCTGGGGGGAGGGGGGGGGGGACAAAAGAGCAGTAGCCTACAATCTGGCAGAAACAGTGCCCACCCTCAGTTCATTTAAATGTTTTTTTTCCATCTGCATTCTTTCTCCCTGCACAACTATCTCCCTTCCACCCCCGTATTACTAAAAATTTCAGCTTCTATTTGTGTGTGTGGTATGTTTTTTCTTTGTTATTAATTTAATTTGTATGGGATTCACTGTATGCACACAAACCGCCCCTATCTGCCTTGAAGCAGAGCAAAAGGAAATAGCTGATGTTGATTTTTTTTTCTTCCCTCCGCTCCCCCCTTCATAATTCATTTTGGATTAATTCCCCTGTCTTCAGAGACAATCCTAATTCTTTATTATTTCCACTTCACAGGCTTGATGACATGCCCGTATCCACATATCATATCCAGGGGAAACTTTACACCCAGCAGACCTTATTGTTTTCTCCCCTCTTTTCCTCCCTCTCTCCTCCTTTTGTCACTTCCAGCCTCTCCTAATTTTCTCTCCCCAGTCCCCTACGGTGCTTTCACGTTCCCTCTTCTCTCTTTGTATCCTTTATTTCCATGCCCTCCCCTACTCTGCCACTCTCACAGGAGTAAAGATGTTTTTTAGTTTCCAGAGACTCGACTAGTTTCTATAGAAAGAGGCTGCTGGTAACTTCTGGTGGGATCCTCTCATGTAGCCTTCCCTGCCTCGTTCAGTCAACATCATAATGTGTGTTTTGTGCCTGTCATGTCTGCTTCCCTCTTGCTATTCATGTGGGAATAAACCAACGCTAAGTGTTCTTTGCCATTAAAGTGCCACTGGGAAAAAAAAACAAACTACATTCATTTGTCACCTGTCCTCATCTTTTCAAAGTATGATATATATATATATATATATATGTGTGTGTGTGTGTGTGTGTGTGCGCGCACTTATCCTTAACTCCTATACAACATGTCAGTTTTTTCTATCAGAGATGGTCGAGTCATATTTCTCCATTTTTTCTCCTTTATTATCTTGTGACATTCATCTCTGCATCTCTGTCCTCTTGAAGTTTTAAGGTTCTACACTTTGGTTGACCTTTGTCAGACCCTTATCTTTCTGCAATTCACAATTAACTACAGTGTTGTGGAAAAGTATTTTTGTCACACCAAAATGTTTTAGATCATCAAATTTATTTTGTATCAAAGAAAACCAGACCACAAACAAAA